GAAGCCCGCCAGCGCCGCCGTCCCCGCTCCTCCGCACCCGCCGCTTTCGAAACGAGCCGTCAAGGAGTTGGGACGAGAGGACACGAGGGTTCACGGCCGCACACGCGGCGATGGAGTGCGGTTCATGGATGAGCAACAAAAACCGCCGTCGCCACCCGGTGGCGGCACCGCTCTCCACCACCGCCTTGAGCTGTTGGACATGATGGACAAGGACACCCTCATCTCGTCGCTCGCCACCCGGGAGGCCGTGGATCAAGGACGCCGCGACCTACCGCCCCCGCCGCAGCCGGATCCGAGTCCTGGAGGCCGTGGAAGCGGGGGGGCTGTGGGAGCTGGGGGGCCCGTGGATTCCGGAGGGGGGGGGAGACCGCAGATGTTCGCAACGATGTTCGCCACCCGTGAGGATGTGGACGCCGCACTTCGCGCCGAGCGCCCGCCCGACAAGATGCCTGACCTTCCGCACTGCATGGCCAGCGACCTCCGCGAGCCGAAGACGTTCAACGAGGCCATGCGGTCTCAACATTCAGAGTTATGGAATGATGCAATCGGTCGAGAGTTTTTCGGTTTGTTGGATGCAGGAACTTTTAGTCCGGTGTAACAACCAGTATAGAACGCGATCAATGCCAAGTGTTTCTTCAACTGTAAGGCAGACGAGTACGGATGGCCGACGAAATTCAAGGCAAGACTTGTAGCGCGGGGGGACATGCAGAGGGCTTCGATTGATTTTGGAGAATTGTTTGCACCCACCGTATCAGTGTCTAGTGTGCGCTTGTTGGCAGCATTAGCGTGTGAGCAGAATCTTGACTTGTGCCATTTCGACATTCAGCAGGCTTTTGTGCAGTCTGAGCTTGATGAGGATGTTTTCATGCGCTTACCGCAGGGGTGTGGTAGGTTATCTGGCTTGATCGTGAAGCTATGCAAGAGTNCAGGGTGCGCTTGTTGGCAGCATTAGCATGCGAGCAGAATCTTGACTTGTGCCATTTCGACATTCAGCAGGCTTTTGTGCAGTCTGAGCTTGATGAGGATGTTTTCATGCGCTTACCGCAGGGGTGTGGTAGGTTATCTGGCTTGATCGTGAAGCTATGCAAGAGTCTGTATGGTTTGAAGCAGGCATCACGACATTGGCATTCGCACCTGACGAGGTGTTTGTTACTTTTAGGTTTTTTGCAGTGTCTGGCAGATGCGTGTGTTTTTCGATTGATGGAGGAGGGACATGTGATCATGATCATCGTGGCCCACGTGGATGACATTCTTTCTGTAGGGCAGAAGACGAGGTGTGACAAGTTTGGCAGGGATCTCAACGAGATGGTCCCCGTGAAGAACCTTGGAGAGTTGAGGTGGTACTCTGCGTGCTTTTACGAGAGAGACGTAGAGAGAGGGCTGTTGAGGATTTCGCAGCAGAGGTTTGCCGAAGAGTTGGCTGCAGAGTACGGAATTGAGTGGGGGAGGAGTGTGCCCTTGCCTGTGAGCGTGAAGCTCACCGACTTNCTAGAGAGAGGCCTTTTGAGGATCTCGCAGCAAAGGTTTGCCGAAGAGCTGGCTGCAGAGTATGGCGTTGAGTGGGGGCAGAGTGTGCCTCTGCCTGTTAGCGTAAAGCTCTCTGACTGTGACGTGAATGAAGCGAGTGCTGATGTCCCTTTTCGCGAGTTGGTGGGATCTCTGATGTGGTTGGCCACTCAAACAAGGCCGGACATCGCGAACGCAGTACGAGCAGTAGCGCGGTATTGTGCATCTCCCAAGATGGTGCACTGGAAGGCAGCACTCGGTATTTTAGGGTACGTACGGAGGACGAGTTGGATGGGGATTACATTTGAGAGGGGAGTGGTGACTGGGATGAGCATGCAGGTGTTTGTGGATGCCGACTATGCAAGCAAGGCGGCAGACCNCGTCTCCCAAGATGGTGCACTGGAAGACTGCACTCGGTATTTTAGGGTACGTACGCAGGACGAGTTGGATGGGGATTACATTTGAGAGGGGAGTGGTGACTGGGATGAGCATGCAGGTGTTTGTGGATGCCGACTATGCAAGCAAGGCGACAGACCGTAGATCGNTTGCGTTGCACCGTGACTTTGTGATGAACTTGCAGTGAAGGAAGTGTTTGGGGGTTGATTCGTAGTCCGTAGCGGAGAGAGAAAGAGAGACGAGATTGGACAAGAAAACGAGAGAGTCTGATGAACGTGGTAAGGGTGTTGGAGTTGTGTTAAGATTTTTCTTGGTTGTTTTGGAGGAGTTTTTGTTGTGTTGGTATTTCTCTTGGTTGTTCTGTAGGAGTTTTGATTGTGTTGGAGTTTTTCTTGTGATTGACTTGGGAGGGTTCTTGAATGTTTTGGGGAGGATATTGGATTTGGTTGCTTTGAGAATTTTCTTGTTTGTTTTGGAGAGATGGTATACGAGGAATTTGGTTTTTGCCGAAGCATGACGATGCATCCGAGCAGGGGGGCTATCAGATATATTGGGGGTACCCGTAGCATAGTATGACGGGTAAGATCTTCAGTACGTGTTTGCGGCCTACGCCACTTATTTATCGGGTGAGACTGTTTTGGTGATGTATTAACTTCACGAGAGGTCGACGACCGTCCTTCACACGGACGAAAGAGGGAGTGCTCAAAGAGCGGCTCCCACAGCAAGGAGGGGCCCCGTGAATCATCGCGGTGCCCCCTACCAAACGGTGATCTTACCAGTCTGCGTGACACAAAATCATCCAGCACATGTATCCAACACCAATGTTCGCAGACCCACGAACACCCTCCCTGGTTCTTCACGCAAGTGACTAACCATCAATTGGGCAAGAACGCCCCTGGATACATCAGAAAATACCAACATGGTAATATGGTAATATATGGAGGGGAAACCCGGCGTCCGGGCAAAACCCCTAAAAAAAAAACCTACCACCACAAAAACCGTCGCTATCACAGCGGACCGCAACGGTCGCACTTATTAGAAAGGCCAAGGCGAAGTCAAGAACGCGAGGAACTACGTTCCCCCGGACAACGGTCTCCCAACGCCCCTTACTCCTGCCATTGGTACACAGACCGCAACAGTTATGCGCCTTTC